GAAGTTCACGTCAAGATAGGATCGTGATTGGAAGTCATCCATCTTGGGGTCCCTTTGGCAATTTTGATGCCCTTTCGGCAATTTTGATGTTGGGCTTTTTCTGGATCATCAGATAATTTTTCGAAGAAAATGCTCTTGACTTGAGATCGAGTCGATATAATTATCAAACGAAGTTCACGTCAAGATAGGATTGTGATTGGAAGTCATCCTTCTTGGGGTCCCTTTGGCGATTTTGATGCCCTTTYGGCGATTTCGATCTTGTGCTTTTTCTGGATCATCAGATAATTTTTCAAAGAAAATGATCTTGACTTGAGATCGAGTTGATGTAATTATCAAACAAAGTTCTCGTCAAGATAGGATGATAATCCGAGGTCCGTTTGGCRATTTCGATGCCCTTTCGGCGATTTCGATGTTGCGCTTTTTCTGGATCATCAGATGATTTTTCGAAKAAAATAATCTCGATTTGAGATCAAGTCRATATAAYTATCAAACRAAGTTCACGTCAAGGTAGGATGATAATGGGAGGTCCGTTTGGCRATTTCGATGCCCTTCTGGCGATTTTGATGTTGCGCTTTTTCTGGATCATCAGATGATTTTTCGAAGAAAATAATCTCGATTTGAGATAGAGTCGATATAATTATCAAACGAAGTTCACGTCAAGGTAGGATGATAATGGGAGGTCCGTTTGGCGATTTCGATGCCCTTCCGGCGATTTYGATGTTGCGCTTTTTCTGGATCATCAGATGATTTTTYGAAGAAAATAATCTTGATTTGAGATAGAGTCAATATATGCAGGTCATGGATGGATACCACTAGAAGGGATAACTTCCTCTTCTTAGTTACAGGTAGTAGTAGTAGTACCAGCAGTAAAAGTACTAGTACTACTAGTAGTAGTACTAGTGCCAAAACCACGAAGATGAATAAAAAAGTAGCGCGGCTTTGCTTCCTCCTTTTTGGTGTCAGCAATAMATAGATTAAAAACATAAATTGAAGCAGGCAGAGACGGAGAAGGTCAAAATCTGGAAGGGAAGAAATATTGACACCAGTTTATTTGTTCGATGAAAATCATGAAAATACACCAGCACCAAGCACCAAAAACACTGCACCAAGCACCAAGAACCAAGCATTAAGCATTAAGTATTAAGCATTTAGCATCAAGCACCAAGCACCAAGCAC